ATGCATTTCAACTGTAGGCATTATCACTACTAGCGGATTTCCTTTGATTGCGTTTGCTCAAAAACTTGCCATTTTTCACAAGTTTTTCCCTTGTGCTAAGGCTAAAAAACAAATTGAAAATTGTCAGTAAACACGGGTCTTTCTTTATTAAAATAAAAAATGGTAGCACTTTTATTGCATAAAAAGTTTTTATACAACAAGTGTTTAGTAGTAGAACTCCTTCTCCGCCCATCCACGCTTGTTCAACCGCATGACCAGTTTCTGCACTTCACAGTGCACCAGCATCCAGACTAGAAAGGGCAGCGGACAAAGCCAGTGAAGTGCCCTAATGAGAAAAAATGTTAATAATTTTTAGAGAAGTAAAAAGAAGTGCTCTAGCTTACTTCAGGGGATACATGTTCAGGCTGCTGTTGACGCCGGGTGTGTAGGTGAGAAAGAGCACCAGCGCTAGTTCTAAAACCAGCGAAAAGGTGAGGACGTTGTTTCTGCAAATAAAACAAAAACAGATTAGCCAAAATAAAACTCTACAAAAAACGTTTCCCATTTACTTCATCCCCTGCTGAAGCANCCTGCTGAAGCAACGAGAGCTTCCTCGTCTTGCACACCAGCACCGCCGCCCACTTTGTAAGCACCACCGTCGCAAAGAAGGCGGTGTTGGTGGCATACTCCAGCGACTTTCGCTGACTGAAGGTCCACTCTTGTTGATAAGAATCTTCCAGGGAGTCGACGGCCTGCGAGTCCCAGCTTTGCCTAATGGAAAGTAGCCGGTTGGGGAGAAAACCGTGCTCGCCCATCAGTACAAAGTAGGTGAAGAAACCGGCGGCCGCCTCGATCATTCCCAGCTGACCGTAGGAGAGGGAGATTAGTCTGAAAAGAGAGATTTTACCAAGTTTTGTTACTAAATCAGTTCAAAAATTGATCAAAAAGTTTGCTCTTTTTACCTATCAGTGACCAGCCGCTGCGTTTTAGTGTTCCTCGGCGCCCGCTTCATAATGTCCGACTCGGCGCGTTCGTAGGCGAGGCTGATCGCCGGAATGAGATCAGTGCCAAAGTCGATGCACACTGTTAATATAAAAAACAAATGTGATTACCTCAAAAACAACAACAAAAATCTAAACCTACAAATGTAAATAGGCGCCAGTCCAAGGGGAATGCCGAGAAAAAAGTACAGCAGATAGGGACTCATCTCCGGCACCTTGGAGCTCAGCGTGTAGCAGATGGACTTCTTGAGGTTGTCAAAGATCACTCGGCCTTCCTCGATGCCCGTTTCAATAGAGCTGAAGTTATCATCGAGGAGGATCATGTCGGCTGCCTGTCGACTGACCGCCGACCCGG